TTTTATTTGAATTGTGAGATATGGGGCCAGTTGCATCAACTTAGCCTTTATGTTAAGACAGTGTCTTAAGTATGAGTTTGACCAACTAGCAGTTAGCCAATAAGTAATCGGTCTTATTTTTGGAATTAACTTAGATTAATCTATGCTTTTATGTAACTAAATTAAAAAATATTATGAATAGTCTTGAAGAAAAAATTAGATGACTAACTTGAAAGTCCAGTCTAAACCTTTTATGCAACTGGCCCATAAACTTACAATTGCGAGTTTTATCTCACAATTCTGACTCTTCTCGCAATTTCTAGTTTAGATCTCGCAATTCAGACTTTTTTCTCACAATTGTTAGTTTGCATCTTGCAATTCTGACTCTTTGCGAGAAAACTTCAAATATTTTTATTCAGTGGTGCAAATGGACCTCCATAGAAATTAGAGGTTTATCATTGTATAAAACTGTCGAAACTTATTTAGACTGTGAAGTTGTTTAAATTGTGGTTTTTACTGTAATTTTACACTTAAGGATGTTACCATAGATGTTGGTGTTGTTCCAGAAGAACGTTGCTACCTAAACTTTGTATCAGAATAGCAACATTTTCACACTACTTCTCCTGTGAGAAATGACATCGCACATGCTTGTTCTTCTCGTTTACAGTCGTTCCAGATCTAATGAACGGAAATGAACTGAGAAGAACGTCGTGACGGAAACCTCGGCACAGATCCAACATGTTGAAAAACTTTGAAAAGACTTTGAGTCCCCCATGTATTTTTTTTTATTAACATTATTTTAGCAGTTATTTTTTCTTCTGTAGCTGCGGTTGTGCGTGTTTGCAGTTTTAATGCGACGGCATTCCATCTCACACTTTTAAGACTCTTTTGTTTTTTGTGTTTTTTGGCGGTGAATGTGATTGCGCTGAGCTCGACCATGTTTGTGTTTTCTGTGCGATCAGAGGGGGGAGATGTAACGGCACTATGACGGCAGCAGGGGGTGGAATTGAGAACAGCTTTCATTCTTGTTTTTTTCTCCTTGTAGTGTTTGTACTGTTTGTAATGTTGATCTGAATTAAAACTCATTACAAAAATGCTTTCGTCTCTATGAATTAAAAAATTCTATGTTTTAAAATAGTAGTTTTAAATAGTCCATTTTACAGTGAAATATATAGTGACAGTTTGTGGAGTGTCTTTTTTTAACAGATGACGCATAGATTTTATTTATTTATTTATTTTTTTTGCAAAATAGTAAAAAATACTATTCCTTGTTTATGTACATTGTAAAAACGATTTTTCGTAGTCTGTACGGGAAAAAAAAGATAGGAATTCGTGTTACAATAAAATACTTAGGTTTTCTATTTTATTGTTTGATAACGCAAATGCTAAACGCTGTAATGATTCAAGACCAAACCAACTTCTCAAACATCAGCAGCCATTCGTTCTTCAGTCCGAATGAATGAACACAGAAACTCGAACTTCCCCGCGCTTTCCGTGACGTCACTGATTTTTCGCGGGGTTTCCTCGCGCTGTGGAATGTTCCGTAAACCGTCCTGTTCTCCCGCCAAAACAGTAAACACGCTAATGAAGAGCGCTCATTAATTAAACCGCATCACTTAACACCAATGAAAGGCCTTACCTGTTGAATACGTGACTCCGTCATTAGTGAGCCAAGACTGATATTTGTGTTTTTATTGGCTCTAAATTAGGGCAGCTATTGTTTAGATATGTTTCAAATGCAAAACAATCAATTTGGTTCTCTTTTACAAAAATGTAATTTTATCAAATGCAATATCATGGTCCTCTTGATTATGGACAGAAAACACTTCAAAATCTATATTTTTTGTTAATTATATAATAGATAAAAAGAAAACAGAGAATAGAGAAAGCTAGTGTTAGCGGTCTTTTTTATAGAAAACAAGCAGTTAGAAAACTAATAGAGTGCAAGTCTTAAAGGGTCATGTTTTTTATTAGTTAAAATACAAACATAACTATAAACTATTACCTGTTCTTAACTATTTAACTAAAACGAAGGACTTAATAAATAAATGATTTTAGTATAAAGTCGCTATGAGGTAATGAGAATTAATAGCGGGAACGAATTCGTAAATTGTGGCCACGATTTCTTCTTTCTGTTATCCGTTAATCTGGATAATCGTTTCATGAATGATAGCTAGTTATCGTACTCTGAACTCTCAAACTTATATGGAAGCCAGTTCTGATATAAACCCAGAATTCTGACTTTTTTTAAATTGCAATTATATCTCTCAATTCTGTTTTTTTTTCTTCTTTCAAGCACGAAACAATATAACAATAAAAAAAGTAATTGTGAAAATAAAAGTAGTAATTAAAAAAGTAGGCCTAATTGAGACTTTTATCTCGCAATTTAATTTTTTTTCCATTTGCAATTGCCAGTTTATATTTAACAAATGTGACTTTTTGCTTCAGAATTGCGAGTTTCTGATTGAACTGCGAGATAAAAAGTCGCATTACTTTTTTGTGTGTGTGTGTGTGTATCCAGTGGCAGAAATTATCTTCCAAATCTCACTTCTAGTTCTGGTACTACTGGACATGTAGGATTATAGTACAGTGAACTGTGTGCTTCATTGTGTTAAGTATTAATTTTGAAGTTTTTATTTGATGAATAGATGAATAGTTTGAGTAATAATAACTGAGCTCATGAGAAAAAGTGGGCGTGGCTTCATTATTTTTCAGGTGAGCCTGCAGCACAAAAGCAGTCTTAAGTCGCTGGGGTATATTTGTAGCAATAGCCAACAATACATTGTATGGGTCACAATTATACATTTCTCTTTTATGCCAAAAATCATTAGGATATTAAGTAAAGATCATGTTCCATGAAGATGTTTCGTAAATCTCCTACTGTAAATATATCAAAACTTAATGTTTGATTAGTAATATGCATTGCTAAGAACTTCATTTGGACAACTTTAAAGATGATTTTCTCAATATTTAGATTTTTTTGCACCCTCAGATTCCAGATTTTCAAATAGTTGTATCTCGGCCAAATATTGTCCGATCCTAACAAACCTTACATCAATGGAAAGGTTATTATTATTATTAAGCTTTCAGATGACGTATAAATCTCAATTTCAGTTTAATTCATTAACAGACAAATATCTAAGAAACAAAACTAACAAAAAAAAGGCATAGAGATACATTAAAAACGCAGGAAGCTGAGAATAAGATACATCCGTCGTTTCTGGATAATTAAAATAAAAAAATAAAAATGCGTAGTTTTTATTTTATAAGATCCATCCTTTCTTGCAATGTAGCCTACATTCAGTATGTTAAAGAACTGTACTGTTTTCCTTTTTAACGTAATAATTGGATTTTTTTTTTTTTTACTATACAAAAAAAGAAAGAAAATAAACACTTCAAACAGATAATATCACGCGACCGTGTAAGAATAGCGGCGGGTCCGTTCCGAAGGTTCTGTTCTTTTCTGTGACACCGATCAACTGGAATGTCCTGATGAAGGCGCGTTTACGCTGCACACGTGCTCACGTGGCCCCGCCCACCGGAGTTTATAAAAGCTCCGAAAGTCCCGTCAGCAGCAGCAGAACGTCTGGAATCAACGGTTCCTCTCGTCTGGAACCGAGTTACGCGACGCTTTCGCCTCAAGACTCTTCGTAAGTTTTGTTTTAAACTCAATACCGCGGTTCAGGATCTCTCAAGTAGGCTACTTACCCTGCAAACAGCGAGTTTACTTGTTTGACTTTTCCAGAAGCTAAAAAACCCATGTAAGTTGCATGTTTACATCATTTTGCACGTTCATAACGTTTGCCTGTACGCTGTTATGTTTATCACAACACCTGTTGGATTCGGTTTATGCAAGCTAATTATAAAACTAAGTCTCTTAGTGTTTCTTTAAAATAACAATTATCGTATAAACTAACATCTCAAGACGAACTCTAACCGAAAACGTTCCCTGTTGAACGGATCATCGTGGCTCGTGATTTTTGACCGCTGTTTGAATGTTATTGTGAAGTGTACCTGATCGCGACGTGTTTCCACCGGCATACACGAGCTTCACGGTCACGTGGACTGAGGAGAGAGTGGGCGTGTCCGTGTCACTTCTGACCAATCAAACAAGCGTTCGGTTTCCCGCCGCCGTTTTGAATTTATTCTCGTAACGAGCTGCACACTCCGCCGTATTAACCTAGAGGGAATCAGAAGTGCTGTGAAAATCTTATTATAGGAAATTAATTGGTTATTTATTGATTTATTAAGTAAAATATGACAGATTTGACACTCTGATGTGAACTTTGGGCTCGAGTGTGAGATGCTGATTTGTCAGTGCTGTCATAGTAAGAATGTCACAGTTATTACTTTACGTTTATTGTATTGAATCGAGTATTATGTTAGTGAAACGTACAGTTAGTTTAGCAGTTGTTTTGTATGAATACTCTAGTTCTGGTTGGAAAGTTCCTCAGAATTAGTGCTTTCCTGAAACGTCTCCTTTACCGCGGCCCCTGAGATCCACAACTAATTTCCTCATTGGATTGAAATGTGACTCTTGACCCACAAGAACATTTCATAAATAGCGAGTAAAGTGAGAGTGAGACATCAGTCATACATGAGGGGGGGAAACATATATATATATATATATATATGTGTGTGTGTGTGTGTAAGATTTGAAAATAAGCAAGGAAAAAAGCTAAAATATTATATATATATTAGTATATTTAGTTATTTTAGTTTAATATATATTGTATTATATTCAATATTTTATTTTGTTACTTTATGTCCTTTTGTCAATTTGTTAAAATTATTTATAGCTTTACTTCCTTTTAGTAATTTTGTTATTTCAACTTAAACTCGCGTATAAGGCAACATTTTTAAGTTTTAAGTTTTTAAAAGTCAGGTTTTTCATCTAACATTTTATTTCAGATCTAATTCAGTCGCCAAAAATGTAAGAAGCGACAATAACAACAATCAGTAATTTATAGTAATTTATGCCGATTTAAAAAGAGCAATTTTGATCTAACATTAAAAAGTAATAATTATAATAAAAATTAGAGTCAAAAAACTTAAACATCTGGAGGCATAAAGAGAAATTTTTTTTGGATCACAGTAATGAGGATTTATGGAAATGATTATCATTGTGCGGCTCCCTCTGCTGGTCAAAGGTGTGATCCGGAGGAACATGCCCTCACATATCCCTGCGATCATGACTCACTTCAGCCCTTAAATACAGAGCCACTGAATGCAGTCTGACAGAGTTCAGAGACTGTAATCATGTGTTTTCTGATGCAGCTTGAGGTGATGGCGATGCACAAGCGGATCCTGTGGGCTCTCGGGAACGGCGCGGCGCGGCGGACCCTCTTCGGTCCGGTGGATCGCGAGCAGCTCCAGCTGGAGTACCGCGATGCTCTGAGGAGAGACCTAGAGGAGGCGTCTCGCCGCTGGGGCTTCGACTTCGCCACTGAGACGCCTCTTGTGGGCGGAGACTTCCAGTGGGAGGGCGTGTCTGGGGTCAAGGTGCCCGTCTTGTACCGCGCCGGTCAGGAGGAGCATCCGTCGAGGTCCGGCGTGGGGAAAGAGAACGTCCCCAGAACCCCGAAGAGATACAGCGTTCTCCCGCAGAACGTGGAGAAAACGCCAGAAAAGAGGACCGAGCTGAAGAGGAAACAGACCAATATCACAGGTGAGGGGGGCGGAGCCAAACAGAGACTCATTCATTAAAGAATCTCAAAAGTCTGTTCGCATGCAGCACAAAGAAAACGGAAGTTATGTTTAGGACTCGGAAATAAGCAGTTAAAACAAGCAGTTCGAATTGTAAAGTTTGTGCGTTTATTTTAAATTCGCTTTATTTTTAAAGTTTTAGTATTTACTTTAATTTTCACTTGTTTTCTTCAATTTAGTACATTTCAACAAATAGGCTACTAATTTAGCAATTAATTTAACTAAAATACTAAAACTTAAATCAAAGCCTTTAGTATTTCTGTTTGTGTATTTCAGTGTTGGTTTTAGTCATTTTAGTATTTAAACTCAAACATGTTTATTTCATTTAGTATCCAACGCTAAGCAAGTTTTTCACGTTTTTTAATATTACGTTTTTCATCTAATATTTGTATTTTATTTTGATTTGTTTCAGATTTATTTCAATCACCAGAAATCTTTTTGTAGTTTTAGTTTTAGTAACGGTACCAACGGTATGTAATTCATTTGGTGTCATTACGAAACGAACTAAAAGAAGATTCGAAAACTAAACTATTTGGATGCATGAGTTTAAAAATTATTATTTTTTATATCAGAATTCAGAGAAAATTGTTTTTAATTATGTGAATAATGCACAATGCAGTGACATGTTAATTTTTTTAGATTTAAAATAGTATTTTTCTTTTATTTATTTTTTTAATTACTACATATAGTTATTTCATTTTTAGTTAATTAAATATTTATTTTAGATTTGTGTTTCATCTCATATTTATATATTTTTTTTAAAGATATATTTCACTTTAATTTTATGTATGTATTTTTTTGTATTTTTAGTTAAGTAACGATAACAACAATCTGTAATTTATGCTGATTTGAATAATCAGTATTATCCGCTAATTCTTATCTAATATGAGGGAAAGACTAAAAGAAAGTCACAAAGCTAAATATTTGAATGCATAATGAGATTTTTTTTTTTGCATCAGAATTGAAAGAAAGCTCTGTTTAATTAATATGCGAGTAGTGTGACATGTATTTTTAAAGTTTTAAATGTTATGGTTTTAGAACAGGAGTGAAATATGGCTTGGCCGTTTTGAGAGATGTTGAGTAATAACGTCTGCTAAACGAAGGCGTGACTGAGAGTTTGACTAATAATAGAAGCATTCTCATCTCTCTCTCTCTCTTATTCAAACAGATTTCTACCTGGCGAAGAAGAGAGGGGTGGCTACACCCCACAAATCAGGACAATAACTCAAACACACACACACACACTCAGGAACGCTAGTGTGTCTCGTCTGGACTCTTGTCCTCACAGGAGGAACACTGTTTTTCTACGCCGTCATCTACCTTCATCTCTCAAGAACTCAAAACAATCATTCATAGCATTTTTCCGTTGTGCCGTTTGGTCCGGACCGAATGCAAGAAACACGCAACAGACTGTTCCAGAACTTATTTTCCATCTTCCATCATGTTTTTTGAATGTTATTCACTAATAGGACATTGCTTCTCTGTCATTTCCTCTTCCTGTTTATGTTTGCATGTCAATGGTTAACATTTATACAATTTTCCGTTAAAGAAAATGCGTTAAAATCCCTTTAAATCGACTGTGGAGGGGGATAAAAGATTCTGGAAAGATTTCAGAATTTGTCTCTCAGCAGGACCACAAAATTATTACGAAAGAATTTCATTACGAACAATACGACTGATTTTTCAGTGTCCATGTGTACAAATGTATTGCTTTATTGCACAATACTTGTAGCTAGGGCTGTGCAAAAAAATCGTCAGTAAAGCCGCTCCTGTGATTAGTAGTAAATCTCCAGCACGTGCTTTCAGATGGAGCGGCATTTACTACACAGAGTCGTAGTTCACCGACAAGCTACACAAAATCACGTTTAAAATCGGCAATCGCGATTTTGTGTAGCTTGTCAGTGATCTAAATGTAAATGCCGCTCCATCTGAAAGCACGTGCTGGAGATTTACTACTAATCACAGGAGCGGCTTTACTGACGAGATTCGCATGAAAATCGCATTAGATTTTTTGCCCAGCCCTAATTTTAAAAACTAACGTTTGGTGCCAAATGTTTTGTTTTTGTTTTTTTACATATAAAAGTTATTTATAATTCTAATCGCACAACTCTCATAAAGGAGCTACAATTACGTTTTTACAACGTAAAATTATTGACAAACACTTGGCGTCGCTCGTGAAACACGAGCGGAATGAATTCTCTACGAATTCTTTGTAAATTGCATATGAATGTTTTGCTCAGAAATTGGTTCTGCTCGTGTTCCGTGAACGCCGCTGCAACTACAGCATATTTACAAACACACTCCGTTTTACTTGTAGTCACGGAAATACAAGTAACGTTTGTTTGAAATAAACGCAGTCACAGATACGAACGCTGAGCTTTCCACATTCACTAATTGAGATGCTGGATATATTCAGTTTCTCAAGTTTCGCATTCCAGCAAACGTTCATTGAATCTGTTCTTGCTTTGTGATCATTCTCATATCCTGATACTTGTAGATTTCTGCGACCTGTCTGTAAATATCCTGTTAATATCCGGATTATTCGCCGTCGATGGAAAATTGCACTTATTATTTTGAGTAGTGTATCTTGCACAGGTCTGTTATTGTTAAAGAGCTCAGAATATATGGTGTATTTATTTTACGGATAAATATTGTATTGTAGATTGACATGTAATTGTTCTTGTAATAAAGCTGTTTATAAAGAGAAACTCTGGCATGTGCAATTGATTTCTACAAATAAATAATTCCTTTAAATATTCAATCTTTTGAGTCTATACAAAACATGCATTTTGTGATAAAACTACCCACCTAACAGGGAACGTTTTCAGAACGTTCTTGCAAGGTTCTCTCAAAGTTATGAACAAACGTTCTTACAGTAACGTTGATAGAACATTTGTTCAGAATTATCTGGTCGTTAATAATGTTCTCAAAACGTTAGCACAAAAACATCGTACATCATTCATGGAACCGTTTCTGAAACATTGGTTGGATGTTCATCTAACATGTTTTTTAAATGTTACTGCTTGTTTCAGAACGTTGAGAGAACATTCAAATTTAACGTTCACATAATGTTTGCAAAATGATCAAATGGAATGTTCTCTTGACATTTGTATAACCAAGAAAAAATTTTTTTTAAACTGGATGTTTCGAATATTCACAGAACATCAGAAATAAAATTTTCAGGACTTAATGGGAACGTTAGCAAAACGTTTTTAGAACATTTTTGTTAGTTGGGTACTTCTAGGTCTGTGTTTCTGCTAGTGTGTTACTAATGTAGTGCTAATCGACACTTTCTCTGGACTGGTAAGTGAATCAAGTAAATAAAGCTAACGTGTTATGTTAAAAGTCAATGTGAAACGGAATTTTACTTCCATCATGTGATGTCGAATTACCTGTATTTAAAAATACAAGTATCCCAGTGTTGACGCTTTTTTCTTTATTGCAATTTATTAAATGGCGTTAAATTACTGCGTTAAAATCAGCTAGATTCAGGAAACAATGACTTCATAGATATCCAACTATTAGTTACCATTTTTAACGTTTGCGTTGCTTGGGTTACGTAAAGGAGGCGGAGCCAGTTCTGAATTTGAATTTTGTCTTTAGAAAAACAATTGTTCACAATCAGACCAGCAACATTCAGTAAATAAATTAATTCAATAAATTTCGAAATTTCATGTTGACGTTAGCATATTTTAAACCTTTATTTTTGCATTGTATGCGCATTTCTGTTTCCCATTTGTTAACAGATGCGCACCGAGGGACGAATCAACCTTATTGTAATGCTAGAGAAGCCATTTGTGTTGTTTAAAGCAAAATATTCCTTTAAATAAGAAAAGAGTAACCTCAGCTACGCGTCACACGCGTGTAGCGTGTAGCTCGAGTTTATGTGTGTAGCACACCTTCTACGTAGTGACCCAGTTGTTATGAAGCTTGTTGCTATGAGACTGACGTCAGCGTTTCCCATCAGCCCCTCTGTCTGTTTGGGACATGTCCTGACCCATACCCACCCCACCCACCTCCCCACACACACACATGGATGCATATCCATTAAAAATGTGTTTATCACTGTGAAACACACACACACACACATAGACAGTTTAAGCTGTGAGTGTGTGTGTGTGTGTGTGTGTGTGTGTGTATGCAAGCGCTGCAGTGTGTGTGTGTGTGTGTGACGCATGCTCCGCTGAACTCCCCTCCCCCTCTGCTCATCTGCTCCGCAGCCTCGTCGAAACACTCAGACAAACACACGGCCGGAGAGACGAGAATACTGAGATACAGGCGAGACAAAGATGAGAGACATGAAACCGCAGCCGATATTGACTCTAGCATGAACCATGACAGACTGGAGCGAGAGATAGACAGCTAGAGGAGAAGGGGAGGGGTGAACGCAGACAGACAGAGAGAGAGAGAGACAGGAGGGATATGGCCCTCTTACACGTCTCTGCAGTCAAGCTGCACACCCTGGACTGAAGACTATGGTAATTTATCGCAAATTAATCTTCTGTTCCTGTGTTGTACCATCCATCCATCCATCCATCCATCTATCCATCATCACCCATCTGTCTCTCTCTCACGCACTGTTCTGCATGACACAAGTCAGCTGCAGTTTTCTTCTCATGTGTTTAACTCGCCCACTGTCATCTGACACACATCCCTGATTTACGCTGCATGCGTGTGTGTGTGTGTGTGTGTGTTTGCTGTCCCCCATCGCTCAGCTCCAACCTACTTTCTAAATGCGTCCATCATCAGCGGCCTGTAGATCGCACACACACGCGCATGCTCTCAGCAGGTGACATGACTCAGATTCACATGCGTTAAAAGATGCATGGACTGCGCTAACCTTTAGAGGAGCCCTGCTGCGTGTGTGTGCATGCATGTGTATGTAACACAACAAACCTGGTCTCAGAGAAACACGCATACCATGTGTGCAGGTTGCATGCATGTGAAGATGCATGGCCTGCAGTAACCTCTCGTGAAACCCTGCTGTGTCAGTGCGACTCTGAACACACATGCAGACCATGCATCTTTTCATGCATGTGTGCATTTTGTCATGCATGATGCATGATTATTTGTTTACAGTTGAGGTATTGCAGGTTGAGATTTGCTTTGTATCGTGCGTGTCATTCATTCATCCAGCTTGTTTTGGGAGTGAATTGCGACGTTGCATTTATGAATGATTCATTTCAGATGCATAGTACTATCCTACAGTGTGCTGTCTATCGTGCAGTGAGGACATGCGCTTACTGTTTCAGATTGTTTATACGTTTAGTGTGATGTTGTGCACGTAGAGATATTTTCAGAACGAAAGTGGGTCACGCCGCGTCTCTCTCACTCTGAGCGTGGGAGCTTTTGTTCAGCTTGTAAACAGACGTGACCACTCACTAAAATGACAGAGGTGTTAAATAGTGTGGTTTCATATCAGATGTTTACGTGGCATGTCTCAGCATGACAGCGCAACTGATGTTTTCATTGTGTGCATGCAGCTGGATAAAAGCGAAGTGTCTACTCTCAGTCTACCGCCCTCCGTGAGCCATGGCGGGTCAGACGGGAACATCAGCGTGGAGGCAGGGTTAGACGGGGCAGGCGGCGAGGTCCAGAGAACACGAGCGGCGCTGGAACACCTGCAGCAGAAGATCCTGAAGATCACCGAACAGATCCGCGTGGAACAGGAGGCCCGTGACGATAATGTGGCCGAGTATCTCAAACTGGCCCACAATGCGGACAAACAGCAGGCGTTGCGCATTAAACACGTGTTTGAGAAGAAGAACCAGAAGTCTGCGCAGATTATTGCACACTTGCACAAGAAGCTCGAGCACTACCACAAGAAACTCAAAGAGATCGAGCAGGTAATTTCACATGCATGCGCGTTTTGTCCAACTGCATTTTCTAGAGCGAGGATAGGCAACGTCGGTCCTGGATTGCCACTGTCCTGCAGAGTTTAGCTCCAACCCTAATCAAGCACACCTGAAAAAGCTAATCGAGGTCTTCAGGATCACTAACCCTGCGTCCCAATGTTCATACTGTCCACCCTAAATAGTATGTGAGAATAGAATAAGTGTGTCCCAAAGCATAGTATGTTGAAAAAAGTATGCCAAAAGTCTCTGGATAGTCTACTTGGGGGCGCCGTAAGGGGTGGGGGGGGTTAGGACAATTCCAAGGGCCCGGTGTTAAAGGGGGCCTCCCCTCCGGAACGCGGCTTTTACCGAGGGGGTAAATATACTGTTCAGGGGGCCTACAAACCATAGAGGCGCCCCTGGGTCTACTATTTCAGCTCGATTTTTGAAGTGTGGATCCGTGCACACTCTAATGGCTAATATTGCCCACAATCCATTGCGCTTTGGCAAAGGATTCGGTCCAGAACTACAAAAACGAATAAAACTACAAATGTGCGCGATCGACAGTTAGGTAGAGAGGTTTAGATAAAGGGGTTTGAGTTACTAATAATCAACATTTAACCTGGTAATTTAACCTGGTATCTGTGTTATATTTCATCTGCAAAAGCAATGTGACCTTTTATAAACATCCGTTTGGTCGTTAACTTTTAAATGCATCATTATGCAGAAAATATGAGCAGAGTTCTTGGCATGAAAGACGATTTAAAAAAATCGATACAGCATAGTATCGCAATATTTTCCACAGCAATACTGTATCGATACACGGACGCCATGTATCGATCTTTTATTATACTATTTGGTAGAATAATAAAATCAATTTCTTTACAGTCCACTAGATGGTGGTGTTGAGTTTTTTTTCTGGTGAGGTCAGCTGGGTCACCTTCAGCATGCAGTAAGTTAGTAAAATAAAGATGGCGGCATCGCGAAAAGTTATCAGGAAAACCGCGTTTAAAGTCTGTGTTATTTATTCATTTTAAATTTAACAGTAATTTGGTTACACTTTATTTCGATAGTCCACTTTAGACACTCTACTAACTACAGGTAACTTTGTAACTACATGTCAACTACATGTCAACTAATTCTCATTCATTTGCAACTACATGTCTACTAACTCTCAGAGTAGACTGTTAGGACAGGTTTAGGGTTAGTAGAATAAGTTGACGTACTTACAAAGTTTCTCATAGTCAGCATGTTGTATGTTGTGGACGCATCAAAATAAAGTGTTAGAAGATATTAAGCAGACAGTCTACTAATACTCTAATGACTGCTAGTTGACATGTAGTTGCAAAGTTACTTACTGTTAGTAGAATGTCTGAAGTGGACTATCAAAATAAAGTGTTACCAGTAATTTACTTTCAAATGCCCCAATTGCTGAAGGGTCTGCACAACTTTTTAGTACAAGTTCAAGTTGCACTGTTCAAAATACCTGTAGTAGCACAGCAGTGCATACCTGTTTACATTTAATTAAGGTGGACTAGACTAGACTGTAATACAAATAGTTGAGTTTGCCAGGTGCATACAACATTTATGACAATCCAATTTTGCACTGCAGCAATAAAATTTAAGTGAGATGAACGAACTGAGAAATGTTTATTTTTAGTTAAAACAGATGTTGCCAAAGTTTCCTTTTGGGGACATAATTTAAAGTTGGAAAAAAGGTAATAAATTGCAATATATTTTTGCAGGTTATCGCAATATATTTAAAATCGCAATAATATTGTATCATGATAATATCGTATCGTGGGGCCTCTGGTGATTCCCACCCATAACACCGTGTCTTAACTACACGCGACGCCGCAACACGCGATAAAAGATATCTTTTCCATGTTAATCTGAGTTTTTGTCCTAACTAGCCGCGACGGCGACATGCGAAATTTCTATGTTATAAACAGTTTCTATTTCTGCGATGTCGCGGCTGGAACAACAACATACAAACTATATGACAGTAGTAATCTCAGGTGATTATGTGCTTTATTCAAAGTTAAACGTGTCTAATGTGAGTTTGAATATCATATTGCGTGACCTTATAGCCATACTAAAAAGCAACAACAGATAGTTAATAAATTAAAGCAAAGATGTATGTTAAGACAATGCAAACAAACAAGCGTATTCCATACAAAGATGGCATCAGTCACTCAGTATGCACATTTAATAATGTTAAAAAGGTTTATTATTTATGAATTAGATTATAAACGTATCAATTTCGTTTCGAGTGCAGTGCGCTTCCAGAGAGGCTCCGCCCACACATGCTTCTGATTGGCTGTGATATTTGATTGAGTCTATCGCGTCTGGTGTGGACACCCAAACTGCTTGTCGCTGGAATCTTGTCGCATCGCGTGTAGTTAGGACATGGTATAACAGGCAGATGAGTTTTTTTCAGGGTTGGAGCTAAACTCTGCAGGACATCGGCACTCCAGGACTGATGCTGCCTATCCTTCTAGAGCAGGGGTGTCAAACTCAATTCCTGGAGGGCTGGAGCCCTGCAGAGTTTTGTTCCAACCCTGCTCCAACACACATACCATGTAGTTTTCAAATAGGCCTGAAGGACTTGATTAGTTAGATCAGGTGTGTTTAATTAGGGTTGAATCTAAACTCTGCAGGGCTCCGGCCCTCCAGGAATTGAGTTTGACACCCCTGTTAATGACGTCTATTCCCTGTTCTGCAGAATGGTCCTGCGCGACAGCCCAAAGACGTCTTGAGGGACATGCAGCAGGGGCTGAAGGACGTACGTGCCAATATGCGAGCGGGAATCAGTGGTTTTGGAGGGGGCGTGGTGAAAGAAGTCAAGGGTGGAGTCTCTGCACTCACGCACACCGCCGTCGTCTCGAAACCCCGAGAGTTCGCCAGTCTCATCCGCAACAAGTTTGGCAGCGCTGACAACATCGCCCACCTGAAGGACACCCTGGAGGATGGGCACACGGAGGAGACGCCCAGAGCTCTGAGTGGCAGCGCCACGCTGGTCTCCAGCCCCAAATACGGCAGCGACGACGAGTGCTCCAGCGCAACTTCCGGCTCGGCGGGTGGAAGCAACTCCGGCGGGGCAGGAGCAGCAATGGGCAGCCCGCGACTGGACGGACATCACCACCACCATCATCACCACCACTCCTCGTCTTCCTCTTGGGATGCCCTGCTGGAAGGCCTGCAGGAGATCAAAGTCGGTCAGGTGCATATGGAGGACGCCATCGAGGACATGAAAGCGCAGCTGCAAAGCGACTACAGCTACATGACCCAGTGCTTGCAGGAGGAGCGATACAGGTAAGACTGCAGCACCTATGGCAAATCCAACGCTCTCCGGAGCCGGATCTTCAGGGATATCGTGACCCTGGACCACAAAACCAGTCATAACGGTCGAGTTTTCGAAATTGAGATTTATACATCATCTGAAAGCTGAATACAGACGCTTTCCATTGATGTATGGTTTGTTAGGATAGGACAATATTTGGCTGAGATACATATCTCATTTTTTACGTGCATGTGTTAGGTGTGAACGTCTAGAGGAGCAGTTGAATGATTTAACAGAGCTGCATCAAAATGAGATTATCAACTTGAAGCAGGAGCTGGCCAGCATGGAGGAGAAAGTGGCGTACCAGTCGTACGAGAGAGCGCGAGACATCCAGGTGACCACCAATAACGAAGAGTGCGCAAATGTGCACATGCTGTATTGTACACCGACTAATAAATTACAGAACGTTTAACAAACACTGAGGAATAAAAAAATAAATAAAAAAATAAAAGAGAGCCTACATAGCGTAACGTGAGGTATTCGCGTCATTTTTGCCGTGCTGACGCGGCGAGTATAAACCAGGCTCTACACTCGAAGCGCTGCGCAGCTCAAACGAGTAGCGCGGTTTCGTTACGCTTTCAGTTTCGTTTGCCGTTTGATGTTTCTCATATGTAACAGAAATGGCAGCGCTTACGAGTTGAACAACGCGGTGGTCGCGCCAGTGCAACCGCACACAAAATCTAGTCGCACAGGCAGAAAAAATGGTCGCAGTCTGGAGCCCTGTTATACGCTTAATTTGCGTTGCAATGGGATCGGAAGTGGCGATACACTGCTTCACTTACCGGATATAGGAGGTGTGATAAAGGTCTATTCCGATGACTTTGGGCACTCCAGAGAAAGTCCTGAGTGTTACAACCCAAGTGTGTGTGTGTGTTTGCCCGCAGGAAGCAGTAGAGTCCTGCCTCACCCGCATTACCAAACTGGAGCTGCAGCAGCAACAGCAGCAGGTGGTGCAGCTGGAGGGCGTGGAGAACGCTAATGCCCGAGCTCTGCTGGGAAAACTCATCAACGAGATTGTGATTTCATTTCGATTTATCGTGCAGCCCTAGTTTATTTCCTTTTTTTAGACCACTGAGCTCCTTTTTGCTTTAACTAATGAATGTTAAAACTGGTTCTTAAAGCGGACACAAGAAATAAGTCTAGAGGATGGTCTTCTGCTGATGCATGGCTTTAGTACCAACACACGGTCACATTTCAGATCATGACTGAAGGAACTCTTTCACCAAAAACACCAAAACTGTCTCAAATGTGCTGCGTTTAGTTTGTTTTGTCTCTGTGGAACTCAGTGTCTGCTATATATGAAATATCTCATCACGGAGGAGAATGAAACTTTTGTCAGTTTACTTTGTGTATTGTTAGGTGATATTTGACATAGGGGCGAGAAGGCAGAAACGTAATGTCAGTAGTCAAGAATCAATACTACATCTGTCATCAGAACATTTTTTGTAAACACAGTAATAGTGTAACACTCACTGTTAGCATGATCATATTACTCATGTTTCTACCCGTTTGCTAAATCACAACAGCACTGTATTCTTAATAAATACATTTGCAAATATAGGCTATGATTTGTTTTCTGTTTTGTTATAATTTTGGTGAACATATTTTTTGCATCGGTGCGACAATCTGTTGCTGTAATCCAGATGCTGATTTTAATCCAGATCAAATTCATTAATCCCAGGATGGATTACACAGTCAACATAAACCTGCTTCCGGCTCAAAATGAGACAGATATGATGATCTTCAACTTGCTATGCTTCAATACAGCATGCTACGTTTATGAAATAGCCTCTTTTCTCTTAAACAGGTTAATGATTGAGAGTTTGTCAAACTCTTCTTGTTGTTTATCGGAAAATGAATAAATCTGCTCGGTTCCCTGCAGGATCGACATGTTAAAAACTGCTCAAGGGCGCCACCTGGCGCTCAGATGGAGTTTTTACAAACTTTATTATCTTCCTGATGATGGGAAGCAGCTTTCTTTAATTAACATTATGCAAATAAGATTGATCTGACAAACTGCTTGGAAAAGAGGACAGAATGGGTAATCTCAGATGCTATGCGTAGAGATAAGCACTTTAATATTGTTTATACACCGATCATTTGATATTTAGTCTTATTTTAGACTTACCTTAACGGATATCATGGATAAATTGTCCTAAAAAGTCGCGTCCACGGACCGTTTGCTGACCGCCTGAGGGAATTTAAATGCAAAAATGGCGCGAGATTTCGTAACGGTAAATTTCGGTTTGACTGGCTGGTTTAAAAGTTATTTAACCAAGAGAGATTTAACAAAGACTAATTTGAACAAATGTCCCCAGACAACCACAATGAGCACTTCTGAAGAGAAGCTAGCCATGACAAATGGTGAGACTGAGGGTGTTAATGTAATATTAATACTGACAGATTTTTCTGTCAGAGACCGCAAGTCACAGCAGAACTGAAAGTGTTTGTGAAATAATTAATTTTAGTGCTGTCAAACGATTAATCGCGATCGCATTTAAAATAAAAGCTTTTGTTTACATTAATATGTGTGCTGTGTATATTTATTATGTATATATAAACACACACACATGCATGTATATAAAAAAAATATGTTTATATATTAAATATATTTATATATGATATAATTTATATGAATATATATACATGTAAATATTTAAAAAATATATGCTGTATATGTGTGTCTTTATATATACATAATAAATATACACAGTACACACACATATAATATGTAAACAAAAACTTTTATTTTGGATGCAATTAATCGCGATTAATCATTTGAAAGCACTAATTAATTTAATTTAAATGCACGTTAATTCAACATCTAAATCATTTCAACACTCTGATATAACCCCCTGCGGACTTCGGTCACTTTAGTAAAAAAAATTTTTAAAAATTTATTTTTGACATTTTAAAAATCGTAGCTTCATCGGAATTGAGGGCATGATTTGGACATGCTAAATGGTCGTAAAAAAAAAAACCTCACACTCATGGTCTTCGCGGTAAAAAATTGCCGCCATAAGAAAAAGCATGGGAAATGTGAAAAAAATCAGAAAATGCTTGTGTGTACAATCTACAAATCCGCAATGATGCATAAAAAGTTTTAGCTCAACATTTAAAAAATTTTTTTTTTTAAAAACCTTGACAAAAAGTAGTGTTTGAGAATGCCTTAATATACATTTAAATCCACAACCTAATAAAAGTAAACAATTTTGTCTACAAACAACTAGGGAATTCACAAGCCTCTCTATAGAGTCCTATACAGGCATCTAGTGGTTACACCATGACATTACATGTTTTTCTTTCCTTGCTCTCACCAGGTGCTAATCTGCCTTCAAAAATGGGATTTTATGGGCCTAGTCTCTATTTTAATCTGAAATACTGCATTAATTGAAAAATTAGATTTTTTTTTTTACCATTTTCAGTGGGAAAAATTTATCATAATTATTGCATAAATTAATTAGTACCATAAAATTCTCTCAAAATAATAAAAAAGATAAAATATTGAACAAAAATACAAATATTCTATGTATAGTGTTGACTATGAGCTTTAATTACTACATAAATCAGCATGTATTATAATTACACAAAATGGTTTAAAAAAACTGTTTGTCTATATACCTGTGATGTGCATCAAATATAAAGCAGACAGTAACTCAGGGCTTCATGATTTTTTAATTTTTTTATTCACTATCATCAGGAAGATCCCACAAGATCTATAAAGTCGATAACAGGTGCTCTCACAATACAGGACAAAGGTCAGAGGTCAGCAGTCACGCCCTTCCACACACACACACTCACACACACACACACAACTAGACATTCAGCGTCATAAGATTGTTCGGTCATTTACCACTGATGTAAATGAAGAGGCTTTCTCTGTTTTCCTGAATTTCGTCCCGATTAGAAAGAGAGTAGAAAACAGTCGCAGTATCAAAGGTGAAGAATTCCTGATTCAGAGTGTGTGATGATCATATTGCTGTGGCATTTCTCTCCAGGATGAGCGTCCATCCGTCTCTGTCGCCGACAGCGGAGGGGCTGATCTGTGTGCGTGTCCCTGCGGTTCTGGACCCTGCAGGTGAGTGTAGTTTGGTCCTGGGTAAAGTGTGACTGTGCCAGCAGAGACCGCTCAACCTCTGAGTCTCACTGCTGATGTCAGGAACAGACCACAGTGAGAGACGGAGGTCTAAGAGGAGCGCTGCGTGTAGAACAGGATGTAGGCCTGAGTGCTGCACACCTCCTCCACACTGCACACGTTCATCTCAGAGTCGTTACAGTGAACCCAGAAACCTGCAACGCAAACACAGTTACTGTGGCGAACCATGCACAACAACTTGCACCATGCACCAATAAAACAGTCTAAAATCGACCTACAGTAATGCATTCCTTTATTCAGTTCAAGTGCATTTGCATAGCGCTTTTCACGATACTAATCGTTGCAAAGCAGATTCACAGAATGCACAGACCGATCGGTGTGTGACAAAGTCCCGCGAGAGCGGTTCAAAAGCATGCAGAGTCGTCTGCTCTCTATAGCTAATATAGTTGAGTATCATCAGCATAACAGTGGAAACTAATCCCGTATTTTCTAACAATATTACCAAGGGGCAACATGTATATCGAAAATAGCAGAGGACCTAGGACAGATCCTTGTGGCACGCCATATTATACTGGTGATAATTGAGATGACTCCCCATTTAAATGAACAAAATGGTAGCGATCAGACAGGTAGGATCTAAACCATCTTAAAGCCCGCCATCTCAGAGTCGTTACAGTGAACCCAGAAACCTGCAACGCAAACACAGTTACTGTGGCGAACCATGCACAACAACTTGCACCATGCACCAATAAAACAGTCTAAAATCGACCTACAGTAATGCATTCCTTTATTCAGTTCAAGTGCATTTGCATAGCGCTTTTCACGATACTAATCGTTGCAAAGCAGATTCACAGAAAATTTTAAGTTTCTACATTATATTTAGGAGTAGATTACTATGGCAGAAATGTACAGTAAGAATCATGCAGTTAGTTACAAATTACACGTAAATCAAACTGCAATGATTATATGTTGCAATTAAACGTTACGATTAAGCAAAGTACTTACTTTACTAGTTAAAGTAATCGAATTACTAGGGCTGTCAGTTTAACGCGTTAACTAGCTATGAAAAAATAACCCCCAGACCAGTTGACTGTTGACAAATATGAGGCAGGGCAACAACTCGCTGCGTGATGGAGCCTAGAGAACATAGTTAGAATGTCCCTAAAATTCAAGATATGGGGCAAAAATGCCACTGTTTGAGTTTGTCTCATATTTACATCATATAGTTGAGTAATATCACACAAGCAATAGGCAAAGTGCAATATCACACGAGTGCAAATGTGATACTGATCTTATACAACAGTTCAGTAAGTAAGAAGTCAATATTGTGTTATTTTAGACTCTTCATAGAGATCATTAATCATTAAGACATTTACCACCACCTACTGGCAGCTTTAGTTTATTACTTAGAGTATCATTTCATTAAAGAAATTATTTCATATTACCATAGTAATAATAATAAAATTAATCAAATAAATTATTAAAAGTATAGTTCACCCACCCAAAAATGACAATTGTGTCATCATTTACTCACCCTCATGGTCCAAAAGAGTATATGTAATAAATTTTATCAAACAAAATATTTCTTTCTGAAGCTACTTTTTGTACTGTCTGTTTGATGCTTTACACAACAATGACTTTAAAGTATCTTTTGGGAGTCATTTCTCAGCCAAAGTTGATAGGCGATTAATTTGCGATCAATTTGATTAATTAATCGCCACATCATGTAGTTAATTAAATAAAAAAAATGTCATCGTTTACCAGATTTTATACAACTGTTCAGTAAATAAGAAGTTAATATTGTGTTATATTTTAAACACAATATTGTCTGTTTTTGCTCAGTTTTGCCAACAAAAACATTACCTATGAAGCCACTGCACAATTGTTGCATGTCTCCGAGCAACACAGCGGTTTAGTTTCTGAATGAACCTGCGTTTTGAACAAATCGAGTGAATCAATGATTCAAAGCCCCATTCATAGAGAGAGCAGTTTACTGAATTCCTGAATGAATTAGCCGTTTAAAAGAATTGATTGCATGAAAGACTCAGACATTTACCGCCACCTACTGGCAGTTTTAGTTTCTTATTTAGAGTATTAATCGACACATGTAATTAATTAGATTAGTAGACAGCTCTACTAATTACGTAACTTGCGTTAATTGTAATGCATCATCCCCCAACACTAGCTATGTTTCTATCACTCTGTTTTTATGCACATTTTGAAGTATCGCATCAGAAACGAGTGATAGAAACGCCAAATTTCGAATAAAAATCCCCTAATTTGCAAAGAAGTTTTTACACTCGCTTCTGGTGTTTTTTTTTTTACTTGTGCGAAAAAGGGTTAATGCGAATAATGGGCAATGCACATCAAAAAAGTCATGTGACTGCGCCATGGGACGGGATAATTTGACTAACCAGCGGACCGATCTCGTTCCACAGCATCTGAAATGTTGTTATGGTCATTCTGAAATGCTCGAGCAAAGTCTGTCGTCAACGTATTTCTATGTAATTGCCTCCCAGAATTGTCTTACATGACTGCGTTTCCAAACAGCAGGCATCCGCCTCCGAAAGCAATGACCGCATTTATTGTGTTTCGTCTGCTCGCTCTGAGGCGTAAGTCATTTGTTATATGTAAAAAATATTATATTGAGTGGCTTCTCCTACTTTTCTTAGTGATATTTAGTGCCAGTTTGTCAGGAAGTGACGATTTTGTTCTCTTTGACT